AATATAAGCATTCTTAATGTCGAAAAGTTACAGATAGGATATTGAAATATTTACTAGAAAACAAAACCTTGAACTACGAAAAAGAAAAAGGAACTACATTTTTTTAACGAGAAAAATAAGAAGATAAAGTTGATAATTGTTTCATCTCGATTTACCACCCGTAGATGTTCTGTATTACAAATAGCAGCAAATCAGCAATTACACTGAATTAAGATAATAATAGTAAGGATGATAATGATAGTAATAGTAATATTGGCGACGATATTGGCAATAGTGAAATTTATAAATATAAATAAATAGATAAAAGTTAAAATAAATGTAATAGTAAAATAATAATTATTATTATTATTGTAATCAGCAGTACAAGAACCTTGGGACACCCATGCTAAAAATAACGATGACCGTAATTATTATGGCAGTAATTATGATAAAAGTAAGGATAATGAATCACACACACATATATACATATCATGTATAAATACATACATGTATGTATATATGTTTATGTATTTATTTATATCAACAAACACATATATATACATATGTTCATATATACACACATACATATGCGTGTATATATATTCATATATATATATATAATATATATATATATTATATATATATATATGTGTGTGTGTGTGTGTGTGTGTGTGTGTGTGTGTGTGTGTGTGTGTGTGTATGTGTGTGTGTGTGTGTGGAAGTGCGTACAGTATATTTATATACCTGTATATATAATGGAACTGCAGATTTATCAGGAAGACAGCAAATAAAACAGTAAGGTTTATAGAGTAACCTGTTCCATCTTAATTTACTTGCCGTAGACATCTGGCTTTCATATATAATAGAAAATCATCAATCGCGCTGACATATCATAACACCAAAGGAGGTGATGACATTAATAATAGTAATAATATCAACGATGATATGGCCCCCGAGGAACCATACACAGGTAAAGGGCCCGGGCGAAACGAGAACACAAATCTCACTAAACTGAACTGAACTCCGAGGGCTCGGCGGTTCGCATCTCCTCCAGACGTGAGAAGTGTGAAATGTCGCGACATTTGACACTTCTCACGCCTGCTATGGTCGCGCATCCACTGTGGGTAAAGCTCAGTCGAGGCAGCACCCAGTTGACTTACGTTGTTCGGGGCGTCCTTGGTCGGCACAGGTCGGGATCCCCTCAGAGACA